ATGGTCAACAATAAAGCTTTTCTTTAACTTCACTACCTTTTAGCCATTTCTGTGAATCATACTTGAAAGGATTGAATTTCCTTGCTGTTTTCTCGCCATTACGATGTAGAGCCGTGCTCAACGTAGGAGTAGGCCGACCATTGACCAAAATTTCTCTTCTATGTCGTTAAGAAGAAACGATGCACGCAATAGTTCATTCACTGTATCTGTCGTGATTAGAACTCGTATTTTATGACAAATCAGTGGCGTGGCGTGAGATTTCAGTTTGTGGAGGCAGTTCGAGATAAGAAGCGGTCTAATTCACACAGCTGTTCCCTGTTTATTCAGTGACTACAGAAATGAAGCGAGGCTGAAAAACTTAGTGAAGAGACTTGCCATTCGCATCAATTGATATTGTGCTACTACAATTGTCTTCAATTCGCAATCGTTTGCATTTTGGTTCAAAAATGTCAGCAATATTTCTTGTTTTACCCCAGAGTGTCCCAAAATTGTTTCTTTTGCAACAAATGAGAATATTGAATTCGTTAATTTTCTGAACGCAATCGCATATATCATTTGATTTGGTCTGCAGTGAATCAGATAGATCATTAGCGAATTACACACAATCTACGAATACACGCCACAACGGCACCGGCAGCGGCGCTCATCGGCACTAATTCACAGATCCTGTAATCGCTGATTGCTTCCACTTCGTCGCCGCAAGGCGCTTAATACTCGTTTCCAATTTAATCACTAAATGCCGCTGGCAGCATTAAAAGTTTTGAAGTCAATTATGGTAGTGCAATTATAGTATATTCTCGAAAATAATTTCGAACAAATTGAACAAAACAATTGAAGAAAATCAACTGGAGGAACAAGCAGGTTTCGGCGTTAGCTATTGGACAATTGATCACCAACAATTACCCAACTCGTATAGAAAATACAAGAATTAATCTTGCCAATGTATTTCGCCTTCATCAACTTTGCAAAAGCTTTTGATTCTGTAGAGAAAGTAAGTATTTTAAAAGCATTGAAGAAATGGGAGTAGATGACAAATACATCTTATTACTAGGGAAAATATATTTATCAGGCCATGCAAAAATTAAAATGGATCTTGAAGGTCGAAAATTTTCTTTGAGATGAGGAGTAAGGCATGGAGATCCCATTTTCCCTAGATTACTTATCTGTGGGTCCTTAATACCGAACAACTGTTGCGCAAAATGTCCGTCCAAATGCGTAACAATGCTAGAAGCCTAACCGTAAGCAGGATTTTACTACCACTGTCATTCCCCGATCGAATTAACTGCTGAATTAATCCCTTGTATTTGAAACTGATATTTTAATTTTTGGTGTTCTATAAAAAGGCCTCAATGAAAGCTTCTTTTCTTTTTTTCTAAAAAGCGGCTCAATATTTTTGGATTAAATTTTTTATCAGGTTGAGCAAAGAACGTTTATAAATATAGCGCAGACCCAATTTTCTTCAATTCTTTGAATTTTCAAAAAATTTCAAAAATTAAAATTTTGATGGTGTTTTCCTGCAACTATAATATTGATGATAGATATTATTTTCTTACTGAAATACATATTCAACAAATTTGGATCTTTAAATGAGCGTTACAATATTTTCAAATGTGAATAGTTTTCGCGAAATTTTGCCTGATTTAAAGGCAATCTTAAAAACCAGATTTTCTGGAAAGTTTAGAATTGTTCTTTACATGATTGGTCAGTTGGAGCCGAAGGCGCTTAAAAGTGGCGAAAGTCTAATTTTCGTATAACCCTCTAATTTTCTAAAATTCGAAACAAATAATGCGAGAAAGCATGTTCTGATGGAGCACCACTAGATTGGTATTTTAGAGACATTGGAGAGGACTTCCCAGTTATCTCTACTTAATCACCAGCCGAGGTGAATCAACTAATGTCACTGCAAGGCCTCTTACTAGGAGGTACTAGCGTTCGAGTCCCGAAGATGGTGACAGGATTTTCCACACAAACTAGATAGCTAAGTTGAATTCAGCCACAGTCTGGAGAGTTCTCATCGGTAGCCGGTGGCTCTGATAGGTAGTTTCTCTGATCAATATCAGGCAAATGCCGGAGCAGTATCCGAACAAACGGGCCACGGACCGCGCGCCATCTTTCCTTTCTCTTCCTCGTCCTGTCCTCTCCCTTTACACACACACACACACTTACGTGTGCTACACTGCACATGCCTGCAGACCAGTACTTTTCTGTTGAAAAGTAGCCATTATTTGTTATACGTTTTTGCTGCTTTCAAAAGAAATACTATTATTATATACTTTTAATAGTATAAACAATTAATTGTTTAAGATAGTATTTATTGTAGATTTATTCATTAAATAATAAACAAGGTAAGGAAGTCAGTAGCCTTCGGGCCGGGCGTCCCCTGGCGCAAGACAAAACAAGTGGTGGCCGCAAGGCACTCAAGCGTTCTTAATTAATAAATATCAATGTGCAATGTAAAATAATATTTATTTAGCATAAGTATAAAAAATACCATAGTATAAAAATATACAAAGGCACTTTTCAAACTTGCAATTTTTTATGATACTCTCTAAATCAATAAT